ACGAAAGCTTATGCTCTAATAAATTTGTTAGTCTCTAAGGTGCCACAAGTACTCCTGTTCTTCTTTTTGCGGATACAGACTAACACGGCTGCTACTCTGAAACTTGTGGTTTCTATGTACTGCACACTCAAGGGAGGGAGCAGGGTTTGGATTTTCAGAACCACTCAACACTGATTTAACTCTGTTCCCATTAAAGTCAATGTAAGATTTTTTTTTTTACTTCAATGGGAACAAAGTTAGGCCAACACCAAGCACTCGAAAATCCCACCTTGTGCTTTTACGATGTCTGTTAACTAATGGTGGGCAAGGATATGATAATTATTTTTATTAGGGATCCCCTTCTGATCTATAATACTTCACATGAATTATCCCATTGTTACTGATGATCTTTTATACTATCCAGGCTTATGCATTATACCTAATATTTCATCAGTAAATTACTGTTGGATCTGGTGATGTTAATCATTGTTAATAACATGCACTAACAAATTTAGTCCTCTTTAATGTTTGTAAATTCTTAACAAACTGATTCTTATATTCTGCTGCTATGTTGTTTATAAATATTCACCCAGATAGTTTAGATAAACAATTGTTCCCTTAAGAGTTTTTCCACAAACTATTCAATTTAACTATTTGTTATTCGTGATAGCTCACCAAAATGACATGGTATTGTGTCTGCTCCCTGACTGGTTGACAAACATTGTAAACAGGCGAACAAATAATATTCTTGTTAACATATGAATACTCTTGTCTGCATGCAAATATCATAATACTATTCATAATAAGGGCAGCCAATCCCCAAACACGGGTGTGAAGAAAAATACCATCATACAAATGTTTGCACATTGTGAACAACAAGGGGCACTGTACAACTGCGCATAATTCAAAGTGTTTGTGACACCTGTTTTGCAGTATTTGGTCAGCATTAAAAATGAAACCTGCAGGGAAAACTGGAGAAGGTGGATTGATGCATTATACTTCACTATACTAACTTTACTAGGGGTGCTTCCTCTTTTATTTCCTAGCCAATGAGATACACTTATACAGCCAAAGGTATTAAGTGTGACTCCCACTGCCTCTTAGTAATGCTGCATGTACAATAGGCACTTAGGTTGGCACTTACCCCTGGCGTGAATTATTAAGGACAATTACTTGGTTGTTAGTGTGAGTTTAGACTCTCCAGACGATTTGTTCTGAGCCCAGAATAAGCTGTATCTAAAATGGAAGAGGGTATTTAAGGTATTAGTTTTTATTTTACATATATCAGTGCTCTCTGCTGGAATATAACTGATACACTAACGAATAACTCATAGAAACTTGTAGTGATGGAGCTGAGGATACTAATTTTGAATGCTGCTGATGCCACCAATATACAGTTGGCAACTGTCTATGGTGCATGCACGTTTGTGGCCATGGATCATTACATACTGTGGGAAGTCTGCTCTTGCCTTAGGCATGGTTAAAGGAGAATTCCTCTGATGATAAGGAAATAATTGAGCAACAGGGCACTATGTCTGACCTGGAGGATTTAGGGGGAGATGTTCAAATGCAACAGTGGAAGAAAGAGATCCAAAATCATATTTGGGAAGAAACTCTTCATATCAGCTCTATACAGTCTCAGAAAGAAGTTCATGCTCTTCTACTTTTCCATTCTCTGTTGCTCATGTATAAGATTTTATATTTCATTCTGCATTGCTCACATAAAGATTTTGTATAGCAATGGGACCAACTGTCAACATAAACATCCAGATTCAGTTTCCAAACCCATCCAAGTTTGGATCAAATAATCAATTGTGCTAAAAATTTTGAAATTTTCATGACTCATGAATGTTTCCCCAAACACCCATTGGGTAGGTGAATCCTCACAAATAAAATTTATGGCCAGAGCTGGTGTGATAGTGGGGGGGGGGGGGG